CATACAATTCACTCATTTAACATGTCTGTTTGCTTTTTAAGTATAGACAGAGGGCTGTGCAACCATGGCCACTATCCAATTGTAGCATAGTTTTCCTCACCAAATGATATCTTAGACCCACTGGCATTCACTTAACCACCACCCTATGCAGTCAGTAATCTACTTTCTGTCTCTCTACAGTTGCCTTTTCCGGACATGTCATATAAATTGAAGGATACAATAAGTGATCTTTTGACTAGTTTCTTTTACTTAGCAAACATTTTCTAAAGTCCATCCATGTTGTAGAAAGTTTTAAATATTTCATTCCTTTCTAATATTCCATTGTATCAGACTAGTAATTTTATTTATCCATCGATATACATTTGGGTTATTTCCAACTTTTTGTTGTTACAAATAATATTACTATGAACATTTGCATGCAAGTTTTTATATAGAGGTATGTTTAATTTCTTTTGGGTATATACCTAAGGGTAGAATTATTAGTCATATGGCAATTATTTGTTTAGCCTTTTCAGGAATTCCCAAATGATTTTGAAAGTTAATACATCAGTTTATATTTCCACCAGCAATGTTTGAGCGTTCTAACTTTCCTACATACCCCCCTCCCCAATACACACACGGTGCCAGGTATCACACCCAGTATCTGTGCATGCTAAGAAGGGTTTCCACTACTGAGAGCCCAAATTTCTCTAAATTTTTGCCAACAATTGCTATTTTCCATTTTTTGAAGTATTGTGACCTAGGTGGGTATGGAAGACTACTTCATTGTGCTTTTAATGCCAATTTTTCTAAATACTAATGACATTCAACAGGGGACAAAATAGTCTTTTCAACAAATGGTGTTGTGATATGAATAACTGGGTATCCACATGAGAGAAAAAAAAAAGAACTTGGACCCCTACTTCTTATCCTTAAAGCTTAACACAAAATAAGTCACAGATATAACTTTATCAATGGGCTAAAACTATAAAACACATGTAGAAAATATAGGAGTGAATGTCTGTATCCTTGAGGTATATAGTATCTTCTCAGCTGCAGCCTCAGCAGCGTAAGTCACAGAAGAAAACACAGATGAAGATGACTGCATCAAAATTATAAACTTTTGTGGTATAAACAACACCATTATGACAGCAGAGAGACAACTTGGAAAACATGGAAAAAGGTTTGCATACCACATATACGATAAGGGACAAGGGTCCAGAAAACACAAAGAACTTTGACAACTCAATAACACAAAGATAAATAATCTAATTAGGGACTGGAGAGACGGCTCAGAGGTTAAAAGCACTGACTGCTCTTGCAGAGGACCCGGGTTCAGTTCTCAGCACCCACATGGTGGCTATAAACCGTCCTTAACTCCAGTTCCAGGGGGATCCAAAGCCCTCTTCTGACCTCCACGGCACTGCACAACACGGATGCACTCACATACATGCAGGCAATACACTCATACACATAAAAAATATTAAAAATTATTTAATTAAAAATGGGAAGAGTATTCAAACAATGCTCAAAAAGTAAAAGGAAAGATGATCAACCTATTCACTTTTGCAGATAAGGAAAGTGAGGCCCAGGAGATTAAAGTGATGTCTCTAATATTAAGTGACTAGTGGTCTCCTGAGGGTTAGACCAGCTTTGTACAGGAAAGTTTTGGATACAGAAAGGCTTGGGTTTGTATCTAAGAGCACGGTTATACACAACTACCTGAATCTCTGAGCCTTGGTTTCATCTATAGTAAGGAGACTTACTTCACACAATTGTGTGAATTGAGTGAATATAACATTTCTAGCGTAGAACCTGGGAGAATTATTAGATAGTAAGTAATTAGTACATACTAATGCCACTCTTTAAAATAATGCTGTGGACCCTTAACACGAAACCTCTGCATATTTAGACACAAAGCCATCTATGTGCTTTGGACCATGTGTCCTCTGTTAAAATCCTTGTGATCTAATCAAGACCTGTCTGCATGACTTAGCTTTGATGAATACCAGTAATCTCAGCATCTGACTCGGAATTCCTCTTTCTTAAGATGTAAAAGCGTCTCTCATTCCCAGAACAACTCCTTTCAAGGAGTCCAGTGGTTCGGAATCACACTCCTAGCTTTGAAACCTGGGCCACTTGCTCATTAAAACATACATTATTTAACACCTATAAAATTCAGTGAAATAATCTTATAAATTACCAGAGATACAAATTAAATAATGCATGGGAAAGTACCTAGTATAGTGTATGGTACACGGTTATGAGTTCATTAAATACAACCATTACCACCACCACCACCATCATCATTATTATCCATTTTACTTAGCAAGAGTTAATGTGCAATTCTTATTCTTTGATTGATGGTTAATCTTAAGTCAATATTTTACGATCCTTCCTCCATTTGTGTGACTTAAGCATATTTTCACCTTATAACTCCCAAACAAAGCATACTGGATCTATAATCCTGTGAAATCTTAAATACCCACCTAATTAAAAATTTTTAGCCTTAAGCAATTACACACAAAAAACAGTTTCTTCCAAAATTGAAGAAACCTAAAGCTCAGCACAAACATAAGTACTGCCTTATTTGAATGTACAGTGCATACAGTTCAAGACAAGGTATGTATTAAGAGAGGACAGATGGGGCTAATGGAGAGCATAATCTAGTGAGAGAGCAGGAGGAGGGAGATGTAGGGGTGGGGAGGAAGCCTGGAAGCTTCTTGCCTCATTCAAGGCCAAGATGCCTAAAGAGAACTACAGGGGACGTTTCACTTATCAACTTGTTTTGAAAAGCTTCTCCATGGATGAACTGGGGTAGAAGGAAGAGTAACTCAAAAGTAAATAAAAGAACTCTCTGAAAGGGGTCATCTGTTAGCAGGGATAAGACATGTTAATAACTGTATCTTGAGACAGATGAGGATGGGTGGTGAGAAAAAATACAAGCAAAATTATGTGAAAATTCAAGTAAAGCACTGATCACTATGCCTAGAGCGCTGAGAACAACTCACCCACTAGGCTGCTCTTAGTGATTTAATGCTCCACCTCCCTACCCCAGGCTCTCAGAGCATCCTCCAGGCAAGCCCATACTGTCTGTACAACTGCAAGATCTTCCTCCATCAGGCTCACCAGTGAGACTGAGGGGAAGAGAATGATGTAAATCCAAGGTTTTGCTTATTAATTGCAATTTTTGAGACAAGGTCTTGTTATGTTACGACAAGGTCTTGGATGGCCTTGAACTCATCATGTAGTCCAGGATGGCCTCTAACTCACCAGTCCTCTTGCTCATCCTGTCTATTGGTGGGATGAAAGGGGTGAGCCACCACTCCTGTACTTAATTGTGGGATCTTGGGCTCTCAGGCTGTGCAAGCAAACTCAGCTGCAGCAATACCACATCTTACCCTGGTATGCCTGTTTCTGTTTTTCTGGTGTTCTGGAAAGGCTCTCTATCATGACTCTGACCCAATGCCATTTTTACTGTGGTTGGAGGCCATAATCACAAACCCATTCTCTTTGATCTTTTCTAAACTTCATGCATGCCACTATTAATCTACTGTCTGGGAATGAGAGGCTTATTTAGAAAGATCTGCAGAAATCAAGTTGGCAGTTTAAAGGAGAGCCTGTGGGTTCCTCCTTGCATTAAAGTAAATGCCCTTTATAACAACTACTCTAACTGCAATAGGTTCTCTGATAAGATTGCTGGGAGCTAAATGTATGGTGAGTAAAGGTTCCTGTGGTATTACTACTGCAAGAGGGTAGTTTAGGGAACGTGTCAAGTACTGACATTTTTTTACATGTTCTGTTCTTCCCCCGTATACTTCCTATCTTACATCCTCCGGGTGTCTGTCTACCTTACCTATCTTGAAGGCTTTTCTAACCACCCTATATAGAACACCACCACCATTGCTATTTTTCTGCAGACTCTGTCTCCGGCTTTCTTTCATAGTATAATATTAATCATCTCTTGGCACACCGTGTATTGATTTGCCTCTTGTCTGCTTCTTTCTCTGAGAATGGCATGCCTCTGAAGTAACTGGATATTTGCTTTGTATACGTGCTCAATAAAGACTGACTTTACACAAGTGACTCAAATTATTAAATACTTTGAATGTTACATCATTTTAATATAGACTTTATATAAACAGGGAAACTGAAGTTGGTTAGGTAAAATTTAGAGAACATACTATCACAGTTAAGAGCAGGGATCTTGGAACCAGATGGCCTGGGTCACAGCACAGCTCAGCTACTGCCTGCCTTGGTGATGTCAGGCACATTGCTGAGCCATTCTGGCCATGGGGCTCCCTCCTCATCTGTAAAGAGCAATACCAACAGGACTGCTTCATCATGCTATTGTGAGGAGCTTCTATGTATTAAGACTTTAAACAGCTCATGACTCATAGTGGGTGCCGGTGTAAAAGTAAATTTTTGCTAAGGAACACCTCATAACAACTACTAACCTTCTCATTCTGACTTCTTACTCACTTATAACTTCCTGATTAAAACGAGTCTTTCTGGTTCATCCATCTATACAGGAAGTTCAGATGTGATCACTCTGGCCTTTATGTGTTTCTCATCATAAACCAATCAGGGAATCGTTTAAGGTGCAACAAAATCAGTGTTCTGAACCATGACTGAGGCTCAAAATTGAACAATGGCTTTCTCAGTGGCTCCCAGCACACTCTCCAAACATACCACAACTTAGTATTCACATACCTACAACATGAGCTCTATCACTCAGCAGGAGAGGTGTTGCTAAGAAATTTTTTTTTTTTATAATCAGTAGAAACTGAGGATCAAGCACAGGTAGAAGAATGTCCAGGGAATTGTGGGTTCCATCCAACCACGCCACTCAGCGTACACATTACTTCAGAGCAGTGTCACAGGGGACTGTAGCAACAAGTTGCCTGTGCAGGTTCCTGCTGTGTTAGAAAATGGGATGTTTGCCCTCACTGCAAATATAGTGCCAAGCCACAAGCAGGTCATGGTCCCTCAACAGCTCTCTGGTGGCTCTCTCATGTTACCTTGCCCTGATGATCGTGCTTCATCTCCCAGCCCCTCGGAAGCTCCAGCTGCTTATTTGCGAACATGTTGAGGAATCCCACAAGGTCCCGGTTATGCTGGTAGCGTTCAAAGTGGTGGGTGTCCCGCCGGACTTTGGTGATCATGTGCTTCAAACACGTGTTGTTTGTAAACATGCGGTAGGCACTCTGGAGAAAAGGATGGAGAATCAACATTAGCCTATGTATGTATGCAAAGACATAGAGACTTCTGAGAGGGGACTATTGAGTCTTGTGGTAGGTATGTGAAACACGTTCACAGACTTCATCATAACTCTAAGCCCACATACAGAAAGAGCCAACAGAGCAAAGTGACTTAAACAGAGCAACATGCAGACAATATAGAAAGCAGGCCCTCTCCACTGCTGGTGTCTAGCTTTCTAAACAACAAGAATGTGGTGGCATTTCTTTCTACATGGGACATCAGGTTCTAAGGTTGGTTTTAGCAAAACACACGCAGTTACACGTGCACAAACTTGGGGATAAGGATACTACCTCACAGTGAGCCACAACCTGTTCTTCCTCCAGCCTTCGATCAGATCATTGGCTCTCAGGTGTTAGTGTAATGGTATACAGTTAGGGGCCAAGTTGTATGGGGAAAATGCTTGCCCTATTCTTAAATATCAGAAATACATGCACTAATAAAAGTGAGCTGCTCTCACTGACAGACATGTCCCTTTGAGACATGGAATGGAATGGAAGAATAGTTAGAATAGTTAGAACATCCTAAAGACCATACGTCAC